ATCTGATGAAGTTTGAAGTGAAAAAGGAGCCGGTGGAGCCCGATCGCAACATCAGCCAGTGCAGTCGCCTTATCGCCGGGGGATCCTTGTCTTCCACCCCGATGAGCACGCCGTGCAGCTCGGTGCCCCCTTCCCCAAGCTTCTCGGCACCTAGTCCGGGCTCGGGGAGCGAGCAGAAGACACACATAGAGGATTTCTACTGGATGTCCGGTTATCAACAGCAGTTGAATCCAGAGGCGTTGGGCTTCAGCCCCGAAGACGCAGTCGAGGCGCTGATCAACAGCAGTCACCAGCTCCAGTCCTTCGATGGCTATGCCAGGGGCCAGCAGTTTGCTGGCGCAGCCGGAGCAGGAGGCACCATGGCCGGGGAAGAGATGGGGTCCGCCGCGGCGGTGGTGTCGGCAGTCATCGCTGCGGCAGCCGCTCAGAACGGAGGGCAGCACCACCACCACCACCATCACCACCACAGCAGCAGCCACCACCAGGCACCCGGCGTCCAGTCCAACGGCACTTCTGGGACAATTCACCCACACATGCGCTTGGAGGATCGGTTTTCGGACGACCAGCTGGTCACCATGTCAGTGCGGGAGCTCAACCGGCAGCTACGGGGGGTCAGCAAGGAAGAAGTGATCCGATTGAAACAGAAGAGGAGGACCCTAAAGAACAGAGGCTACGCTCAGTCCTGCCGGTACAAGCGGGTCCAGCAGCGGCACGTCCTGGAGGGAGAGAAGACGCAACTCATGCAGCAGGTCGATCACCTAAAGCAGGAGATCTCCAGGCTGGTCCGGGAGAGGGACGCGTACAAAGAAAAGTATGAGAAGCTCATCAGCAACGGCTTCAGAGAAAATGGATCCAGCAGCGACAACAACCCTTCATCCCCGGAGTTTTTCATGTGAGTCTCGACATTATCGTGAAAAAAAAGAATATCAGATGAGTTACTCACCCCCGCTTACAAAAGTTTTCATTATGAAACATTTTTTTGTTCATTTGGCGCAAAGCCTACTAGACCAAGAACTAATTTGTCAACTTTTTGATTTTTTTCATTTTATAATTTTTTTTTATACAAAGCGTTTGCTCAAGTCTGCGACTGTTTTTAGATTTTGAGGGCTTTGTCATCCGTGTTTTTAATTTTGGAAAGGCATTCAAAAAAAAAACTTTCATCCACTTTTTGCTATCATACTCAGTATATTATGCATAGCCTTTGTCAAGATTTTTTCATCATTGTTCATTAGATTTGCAGTGTTTGAGTAAAATATGATTTTTGAGAGTTGATCCAACTTTATGCCGCAGTATACGAAGTGTGCATGCAAGCACTGAGTATATTCCTCTGAAGTTCATCAACTTGCCCTTTTTTCATCATTTTACTTGTAATTCAGTGTACAGATTCCTGTTTGAACCTGCATCCATCGACAATGTGTTTTTTTTTTTTGTCTTTTTTTACCTTTTCTTTTTTTTATCTGCCAAACTTGGAGGATTGCGAGCCTGCCGTTTGACGCCACCTCATCTCATGCGTTTGCTTGTTATTGTGTTGAGCAACAAAAGACTATATCCATTACAAACTTTTCATTGTTTTTAAAAAGAGATGTGTTATTGAACTGCCCTGCATGCTGGACATGTACGGTTTTTTTTGTTTTTTTTTTCCTTTCTGTGCTTGAAGATGTCCCTTCTGTCGGATGACTCCAGCATGGCATTCGTACTTCATTTATGGCCTCCTCACTTTTTTGGGACAGCAACAAAAAAGTGACAGGACTTCCCCACCCCTTGTAATCTAAGTGCATTTCAGCTGTGTTGAAGTGCACCACCATCGGCTGTCATTAGGCTGCAGCGAATGCGCTATGCATTCCTGGTGGAAGTTGATCGGCGGGGATCCTGGTGAGAGGGGGGAAAAAGAAAAAGACTTCACTATTAAGATCACCAATCCCTTCCCTGGAAGTTTAGTCTGTTGCTTAAAGCCTATATTGTTATTTAAAGATATTCCATTCTGCATTTGACGACATTGAGTAATTTTTAAAGCGTAATTTAAGTACAAAGTTTTATAATGCAAGTTGCAAGAGATAACGTGCTACAGGTTGAAGCATATAGATTACTGGGATAATAAATAAGAATACTGCTGCACAAAAGTATTTTTTAACATCGGTTTAGAGGAATTGGCACGGCTCCAATTTATACAATGAGCAGTATTGTGCAGTGCATAAACAGCGCTTTTGCAGCATGTGCTTCAAACTGAAGTGTTAAGGGCTCCATTGGTCTCCGCCACACATTTCATTATTGCATTTCAGATAAAAAATAAAACTAAAGTATTGTTGAAGAATATCACTGTCACAGCCGAAGTCAAAGTCAAATGCCAGACTTTTGGAAAATGTGTGTCTTCAACGAACTGACTTGTTTTGGACTTAAATGCACTAAAAGGTCTCGCCTGTAATCATGTGGAAGTTAAAAGAAAAAGTTAGTAGTTCTCCACGACTCAAGAAGACGAAGTTTGACTTTCTGTTACGACCCAATCGTAACATTTTGATACTTTATTGTCAGTTCAGGAGAGACTGTTGTTTTGTCTTAAACGAACTCAATATTTGCAAAGCAATAACAATTATTATAATCAATAATGTCTGGACATTGTTAGATTGCCAGGGATTGACACCCTGCTTGTACAAAATGAGGGAGTACCATTCGCCAATAAATCTTGAAAATATGTTAATTAACCTTTCATCTTATATATAGTATATATATATTTTGCTGTGCAAAATTATTTCACTCACTAACCATATGTGATGTTCATATGTGCTCGTTTTTTCATTTCATATAATTAAATGATATGCAATAAATGTATGTAATTGTCCTCAATAAGTTTCTCACTTTTCTTTTGACTTGTCCTGATCATTTTTTGCTTTTGGGATAGAAACATAATGAAAGCATAGATTCTGAACATGATGGAGATCACTGCACTACATTTTAACACAGTTTATATTTGCTGTTGTCGCCCTTTTTTAATATGCTTTTTCTTCCAACGCTAATTTAAGAGCGGGCCACCCTGAACGAATCAGAAGCCTTAAAATGTATGAGTTATTCACAAATTTACACAAACCGATAAAGCAAAAACTGGAAAGCAATTGAACTTTAGACGCTTTTTCCATTCTGACGCTTAGAGTGCTGCAGTTCACAGTGTGGAGATAGAGGTCCGGTGTTACAGATAAGGTGATGAGACCACAAACAAACAAAACAGATAAAGAAATGCAGTGGCCTACATTTGAATGTCATTTTGTTCTCAGAAGCTATTGTCTGACACAGGTTTTACATTTCTTCTCCGAAAAATCACCAAATTACCTGTGAATGAGAAATCCTTCTCACAATGATCCCAAAACGCAGATTTAAACTGAAATCATATTTTCTGCCATTTTTGTTTCCACTCCATTTCCTGAATCCCCCTTTCACAATCAAATGATTATAATATTATCAAGATTGTTTTTACATATTAGGCTATATTTTAAAAATATCTGGGTCCATTAATAACATTCTCATTTGTGATTATGGATTGGTTATTATTTATATATTATAATTACCTCCTGTTAATCTTGTTGTAAAACGTGACCTGTGATTAGTGTGTGTGTGAGTCTCTCTCTCGATCTCTCTCTTTCTGTGCCTGTGTCCTTGTGTGTATGGGTGTGTGCATGTCTGTTAACTTAAATATCCTTTCCCTGAATGACAGTTTGTAAGGATGACTATCTCCATTTGAATTTCTTCTGACTGCATGCTCTATATTTGCACCCCTCCATTTGCCCCTTTTCATATTTCTTGCTTCTTGACGTCTGTATGTGCAGTGTGTCCACTGTCTGTGTTTTTCTGACACTGTGTGCTCACTGTCATTGGCCTGTCATCATCTGGCTTTTCCCAGTTTCACCCCACATTATCCTGTTTGCCAAAGGGCCTGGAGGTTAGCCTGGTACAGACATGCTCTCGGGGAGGAGGTGCGGTGAGGGCACAGTCATGTCAGGCATGTGAGGGGGCGCTGGAAAAGGTGCCAATGTAAGTCAGCCGCTGCGGTGGGCAGAAGAGGCTCAGCGCTGCTGTACCCAATCTTGCATTTCAGTTGGTGTTTGGACGTCTCATTCTGACTTCTTTCAACAGAATCTTTGAAAACTGAAAAGGCCACTTTTCTGAAACACAAGAGGAAAACTTCTTTTGCAAGTTCTGGGACAAGGAATAGCCTTGTGGGCATCTTGTTTCACTGTTCCAGAACAATTTGTTTGTTGAAACAGGAAGACCAATGTGCCAAAATATACTTTGAAGAAACACTAAGGTTTCTAAGGACAGATTCAGTCTGGGTTTGTCAGCTTTTTGCAGCTCAGTCACACTTTGTAGCACAAAGGGCACCTTTCATAAAAATTAGCCACACTGTTAGTGTGTTAACAAAGCACTGAGTGATCAATTGTTATTCTATACTACGAACAGCTTTGCAGTTATAAATGCCATACTTTACTAAACTGACCAAAAAAATGCATCTTCTGCACCATCTGCCAGTGATGATGTGCTACACAACTTGTCAAAAAAACAAAACAAAAAACGAAACAGTTTTTAACCTCACACTTGTATCCCACTCTGTTGTGTGTGATTTCCTCTGAGGTGCTTGCTGCTGCTGTGGTGGCTGATTTGCCCAGAGTGAGTGGAGAGACTGAGACAATAGTCGGGCTTGGGCTGAATTAAATGATTTTGCTGATGATTAATAGTGGTGTGGGCCACTGGCTCCTGTGATGTAGAGATGATAAATCGTGAGTGCAGCTCCGTGCAGCTGTGCCAGTGTTGGGTCTTAGCATGCACACACCACGCAATTTACAGCCAAGCCGCTCTCCTTCTTCCTCAATTTATCTAATTACATCTATTTGATCTAAGCAGTAGCGCTGCCATATTTTGATATTTCATATTAGCCACAACAATGTATTGAATGACTCCAGGGAGGATAATTGTTTGCTTTCCCCTCCTTTAAGGAACATGTTTCTGTACTTGCCATTTAAATAAGAAAACATTTTTTTCTTTATTTAGGAGCTAGGATTTGCTTCTCTACAGGCCGTGCATTGGTGTGGTGGGTTTTTTTGATGTGTTTAGAGTGGCATGTAAAAAATGAAAATTTGGTTTCTGTTTAAGGCTGCCTTGTTAGACTCTTTAGCTTGTTTATTTTGATTGTTTCCTTATTGGGATAGATCAGTTAGACCTCTATTGTCCATGCTCTAGAAATGAAAACGCAGACACCAGCCTATGCGCACCAGCACAAACACAAATACACAGACAAACAATAAACGGCCCTGCATAGATTTGCCCCAGCCTTTTATTTCACAGCATGACATTCCTTGTGTTTCTCTGTATTCTGACATTTATATGACTCAAATACTTTGGTCTCCAAGCTAAATGACATTTGCGTGAAGACAGATCTGATTTGCAAAAGATGTTTCTGTGGCACCAGTGCACAATGGTTATGTAAGTGATAAATCTATCGATTTTCCAATGATGCACTCATATGGAACGTTGGCGCTGCAGGCTGACAGCATAAGATGCAGCACGATGTTCACTCAAGTAGCAGCGCGCCAGTTGACAGGCCCAAAAATAAGTGCTGGTTGGGGGTCTGTATTCTTACAGGCTTTAGATGGTGCCAGAGGAAGGGCTGGAGAGGATTTGTTGTTTTGTTGTTTGTGTGTGATTCTGCATCTCTTCTGTCACGCCGTCCTGTGTACGAGGTCGATTACTTCCTGTGTGGACAATGCGTGTGCTCATACGTGTAAATGTAAATGTGCGGGTATGTGTCTGTGCATGCGTTTCTGTGTGTGTGTGTGTGTGTGTGTTTGTGTCTTTCCCTTGTCGACTTTTGGAGAAGGATGAGCAGAGGTCAAAAGTTACAGTGCAGAAGGCTGCTCTCAAAGTCATTAGAGTAATCCCTGCCCTGGGGAGCTCATGCTCATTTCCGCTGCCCAGAACCCACTGAATAAGATGTACATGTATATCCGACATGGTACAGTACACAGTGAATTCAAGACAACTCACTGCCATTTTTTTTATATTCATTTCCTGTATTTCACTGTTTTAGAGTTTGTTTCTCAGGATTTGAAAACAATCAAATTACTTTATTGAAAAACAACTTTTAGTCGAAGTGTTTCTTGTTTTTTGTGCATGCATAAGAACTATATTATTAGGTATTGAGTTTGAATTCATTCGTATACAGTAGGTTTAAATTCACACGTACTTCCATGCAGTATGCAGCAAAAATGTTACCTAAAAATGTGTACTTGTCAGATGTCTGGTAGGTTTTGTTTCATGCTGCCTAACATTTTTATTTTTTCATCATATGTCACTGAACAGAAAAAAGCCACTGAGTCACTGTCAAGTGGAAATAAGGATGATTTAAATAAGGCAGCCTCTGTACTTAACTACTTTGGTATAGTGTTCATGACATTCATGATGATCACAGACAGCAGCTCATTTTATTCTCACACCCACACATCATTCAGTAACCCATGGTACTTAGGCAAAATTAATTGTTCCTCCTATGTAATATCCACTGAGTCAGAATGGGTATGCTAAACTTAGTCAGGAGTTTTCACTCTAATTAAGGTTAAAAAACATCTGAAAAATACAGAGCAATTCCAGCTTTTTGAGGGTGTTGTTTGTCCTCTCTCGTAGTGCGACAAATCCAAAATAATTGTTCTTCTACTTAAAAAAAGAAGTTGGCAAAGAAATAAGGTTTAACGATGTCATTTTAAACATCTGAAAGATTTAAGTTTTAGTATAACTTTGTAATTATCAGGGTAGTGTGCATTTATGATGAAACGAAAACTTTTGCATGACTTTTGCTTCTCTTTCCTCTTTTATTTTTATCATTTTAATGGTTGCTGGGGTTGAAGGTGAGGCCTCTCCAAACATGCATACACTGGTCATTTTCCTGGACATGTTGCAAGCACATCACAGGGCCACTGTTGCTACTTAGACAAAAACACACTGAAATAATCAAGTAATGAATTTCAGTGTATGTATTTCATAAAGTTAGGATTTAACTTATGAGTCTGATTTTGAGTCAAGCCATGCAGATAGAGAATACTGGATGTGCAGGGAGTTAACAGTAACAGTAGTCAGGTGTCTCAGCACAACCAGGTGGCAACCACATCTGCAAATCTGTCCAGATTTATAGCAGATAGAGAGGGGGGGAAATCATCTCACTTTACAGTGTATTCGAGAGGTACAGTACAGAAATACTCGCACTTTTAGAATTAAAAACACATCAGGGATCAATTAAAATGCTTATTTTATCACAGTCCGTTTTGCTCTTTCTATACACTTGTTTCTTTCTTTGTGGAAGAAAGTCCCAGCATGCTTCAAATAGACATTAAGCGGATACGTATGGTGTCATTAGAGAGTTGTCCTTGAAAGACTGGCTGCAGGTTATGTTGGTAATGAGGTGGTCGGGACTTGCTGGGGTAATTTTATATGTCTGTAAATGGACCCAAACCAAGAGCCTGTGACTTAAATAAATGCAACACCATCTCTCAGCAATCCCATTGCACAAAAGGTGACAGAAAAAAAGATTTAAGTGGTATTATAGTCTTTTCAAAGTGGCATACGGTTTTCAAATTTCTACAGATAGAAAACCTAGGCCTACAGAACAAAATCTAAATGTAAGGTTTTATTGGCATTTTAAGTTAATTTTAAAGCATGTTTTTTCATTGAATGTAGAGCTGCAGCAGAGCAACGCACAAGAGAAACACATCCACTGAAGATTCAGTCATTTACAGAGAAGAACAATGATCAATATTCAGCAAAGTTGTTGCATATGGAGTATTTTTTCCTTACATTTCTCTCCTTAGCACTTACAGTGTACTCAACTGTATAACGACATAGTAGAGAATGACAACGCCCGGAGAAAGAAAGCATACCATACAACATGAGACATTTCCATACATTTGTAACTGTTGATGTGTACCAACATGTCCACTATAATATTGATTCCGCTCTTTAGTATTTCTTAATGTAGAGGTCTTTTGGTTTTTCAACAGAAGTTCTTGCAGTTTACAGTTTGTGATTTAGAAGCAAATGCAATTTTCTTCTGCAGGGGCACTAATATCATCATGCTGCATCACTGCTGTTTTCCTACAGGTTCTATATACTCTGGAGAACTGAGTTATGTGGCATTTATTTGAAAATCCACTGATTTAAAATTTCCTTCACTGCAGTGTATGGGCAAAGTGTTTCCACAACTATCATGCTAATGTTTTCACTAGCTTAGCTCTTAGTAGCAACATTTATTAGGAATATGAATAACTCTATTTGGACCAGCCTGGAGCAACATGCTTACTTGTCTGTGTTTTTGAGTGGGGGTCCTTATAAGATTGTCTATTATGAAGAAGAAGGGAAGGCAGATATTACCATCCTTCACTGTTTTATTTGTCTGTACGATTAATCCTTTTAGAACAATTAACTTTGTAATTTATTGAAACGAGCAGAAGTAAAGGCCTTGAAAAAAAAATATTTAGCCTTTTCTGTGCGACAGCACATTGTATGCTCAGATATTTTAGTTTTGTCTCTTGTGGTTAACAGTGTTTTGATGCATGGGTTCTGCCTGTGGAATCTATTTGCATGCAAATTTTTACATTTCCCTCCGCATCAAACGCTTACTATGATACATGTACTGTGTTTCACCAGACAGACAAGGTGAGAGTGAATCTCGCTCAGAATGGATCTACTTGTTTCTTTGTGATTGTTTGTGCGTGTCTGTATGCATGTGTGTGTGTCTGACAGGGTAGCAGAAAGTGACACACACAGTAGAAGAAACAGAGGAGGTAGAGAAGACGTCATGTGTATTTGTCTTGATATTCATTTATCTATTCTTATATGTTTTCCAATCTTATCTGCTCCTTTAGGTCATCGAGAAAATTCCTCCATCTGTGATTTCAAGCCCCATTCCTCCATGCCCTTGGCTCTCTGAGGTAAAACACTTTGTAATTGATCTCAGCTTTTTTGCTTTTGTTTCTCCTGTGATTTTGACTTCGTGACACAGTGAGTAAAGTTCTATTTCACACATTTCAAAGTCCACAAAATACTAGCCCTTTTAAAGAATTATCACAGCTATACAAATAATATCAAAAAATGTTGTAACACACAGTATTACTACTTGTCATGTTGTTTCTATTTTATTATATGCCTACACAATGAAATACATATTAATTATTCATTAATATTAGACTATCATATTAAATAGTGAGTGGATACAATCACCACATATAGTATTGGGTGTTTTATAGCATATTGCAGGTGTCTGTAAAGCTTCCACAATCGAAACATAATGTACCATGGTTTGTCAATACCTATTCATATGCTAAAGAGCACACAGCTTCTTTATGTTGACAGTATCTTTCTTGATTACATCTTTCTCCTTCTACCCAATGCCATAACTTTGCCGAGCACTGAACACATTTCCCAACCTCATTTAAATCCATGAAGAAGAAAAAAAAAAACAGATATGACGTTTTCAGTCGTCCTGGATCAACAGCACAACCAGCAGATTATAGCCACTCATTCAAATGTAAATTACATGTTCAGACTTTGTGTGAAAAAAGGCAGAGAAAAAAGGCAGAAAGTCTCGGACACCAGGAGAGAGGCAGGGTGAAGAATAAGCTTCTAGTCCTGAAATCAATTCAAAGAGACACTGAGGAACCTGGGCAAATGTATATTGCAAACCCAATTGTTCCTGTAATGGTTTCACTGATTGTTCCATAGCAAACCCCTGTGATGTGCTTGGTAATGACACAAAGATGAGAGAAGGTTTGAGCTTGCATTCATGACTTCCCACCTTGATGAAGTCGATTGTGCGTGCGTCTGTTTGGGTGTACATGTATTTGTATGCAGTGTTATTTACTTGATTGTGTCTAAGTGGAGCATGGGATCAGTAGCTGGCCTTTCTCCAGCTCCACTTAACTTCAGGAGGGGAAGCAGGACAAAAGCCATCAAAGAAGACAAGGACAAATCATCTTTAGATGAAGTGTTTTAAGTGCTCTGATTCTCCTCCCACGTCATCACTGTGAATTAGGTGCCCTCTGCTCACTGCTACGGGGTGTGGAATATAAACAATGCCAAGGGAACGGATGTTAAACGAATGAAAGTGGAAAACCATGAGGGTGTCTATCTTAGTCAGCCTCGTAAATCTCAGTTCCCTTGCCATGCCGTTGCGCTATACTGATGTTGCGCTCTGACAACCTGCCAGCCAAGCTTAGAGGGGCTGTGTGCAGTGTGGTCTGGTCGATCCTGTTCTTAGCGGTTTCAACTATGGCAGACGTTGCAGGCAGAGCCATGTCTTTGTTTTATGCAAATCCATGCATATGAGGAGGGGGGGAGGGCGATGAGCAGTCTGGCCACGTAGCTCCAGGAGGACAGGCTGAGTGATGGAGACGGAGAGCCAGGTCTCGGTGTCCTTGCCTGGGGAAAGAGTGTCCTGACTCCGGCCAGGACTGCCTAAACACTACCAGGACAATGTGTCACTGCGCCTCTACCCCACCAATGCGAGAGAGAAACATTTTTCTAGGCACAAATGTATTTACACTGTGAGATGTTGAGTTGGAGAGGAGATAAAGAGAGGTTAACGTTGGGATGAGACTGCCAGTGTGTCTCATCTGCGACTGGTGTGTGTGTGTGTGTTATGAAGACAGGCACACCTCAGGGGTACACCATGCAAAGAGACACTGGAGTTCAGAGCCCAGCAGGGAGTTGAAGGACCCAGAATATGCTGACAAAGATTAAACACCAGGTGTGTGCATATGTACTGTAAGTGTGTGAAAGAGGCTGTGAGAAAGAGAGCTGAGTGCAAATATAGATTGGGGAAGCAGGCTAGTGTGTGTGTGTTTGTGTGTGCGTGTGATCACATAAGCATACTGTAACAGGTAGGCAAGGCCACCAACTGTGTGACTGTTGTATGGCAAAGTGGTTTTGTGTGAAATCTGCTGAAAAGTGTCACCCACACACCACATCTAGTCACAAGGATCCACTTCCCATCTTCACAAGTGTCTTGTGCTTCCTTATATCAGTGTGGTTTATGTGTCTAGGAAATGGCATTTTGTTAATATTTTAAATTTGTTTTATTTAAAAAAAAATAGTTTTGTACACCCATCCTCTCTCGCTAAAGCCTTCTCAGAGCTGCGTGCTAACAGTAACGGTTCGTCGGTGGCTCTGCTATCACAGAGAGCTCTATTTCTGGGTGCCAGGATGTTGGTCTCAGTCATCGAGGGCAGATGAAATCGATCCAGATTGACCTGTCATGTGGAGGAGAAAATGAATGAGACAGAGGAGGGGTGCAGAGGCCATAGAGAGAAGGGGCAGAGCCGAAGTACAAAAACAACCTCCTGCTCCATATGGGTCAAAAGTCGAGGGATGATTTATTCAAGACTGGGTGTTATCCCCTGCTCCCTCCTCTCCACTCCACCTGCCTCTCGGAAAGGAGTGAGAAACTGGAGACTGCTCAGGAGGAGCTGACTATATTTAGCCTTGGTGACCACAGACACTGCGGTTCTAACTTTAAAGTTAAAAATATAGATATCCATGTACAGTGAGATGGGCACAGTTTGCGTCACTACAGGGCACCAAGCACAAGTTTGTCAGCTTGAAATGACTCAGACTGAGGAAGGAGTGCAAAGCAGCTTGTAGCTTTCACTGGGCGCTCTTTCATCAGAAGATTGTATATACTTAACCACATTCACTGGAGTTATTCTACATTTATCCTGCATCAGTACTACAGAGGATTCAATTTATATGTGTAAGCATAAACATGACACTAGAAGAAATAAAAATGGTACTCCTGATTGTGAGAATGATACGTTCCTAGCAAAGAAAGAAAGAAAGAAAGAAAGAAAGAAAGAAAGAAAGAAAGAAAGAAAGAAAGAAAGAAAAAGATTTATGACTGCATTTGTCTGTGAAGTGGTACTAGATTTAGCCCAGTGTGTTTGGGCAGAGCTCCACTTTGCTAATTATTTTCCTGTGGCAGAGTTCTCAGCATGGCGCTCCTCTCTCGCTCTGAGAAGAGAGGCTCAGCGGTAAGTGCTTAGTCAGCCGTACTCTGGGTGTGAGAGATACTGTTGGGTCTCTGGTGGACTGTCGGGGAGGGAGAGCAGCATGGGACCAAGCCATCACAAGGGCGAAGGCTTGGAGGGGAGAGGGGAGGCCAATCATCACCCATCAGTGAAAGGAAGGGGAGTAAAATACTACTGTTGTGAACGAGAGCTGTGTTTTGTATCTGCATCAGTCCTCATCGCCATGAGGCAACATCGCTGGTTGAGGGGACTTTTTGTGGAGACCGGATGGCACTTGCAGAGGCCTGAAGAGCCCAGTCATCGTGGACATAGCTGTTGTAAGAGTCTATTAAGCCGCAGCCACTCATTAGCAATTAGCAAAGGCATGGGTTTAAAATGTATTCACATCATCTTTAGTTTCTATACTGCCTTGATCTCAGTGCCAATCCCTCAGTCATTCAGTCCAGAAGAAGCTTTCTGCGTTCTCTGTTTCTCTCCTCCCTCTCTATTTATACTCCAATGTCAAACTTGTCTTTCGTTCTATCTCTACCCCTCTTTTTAGAGTGACACACAGCTCCTCCTCTTCTGTCTGCCCTGCTATCCTCCAAATGACTCTCCCCCTCCTCCTCCTCCTCCTCCTCCTCCTCCTTCTCCTCCCAAACAAACTTAGCTTCCTTCCCCTCGCCTCTGTTCCCAACGTCACTTTCCCTCCCTCCGTCCTCCCCCTCTGCCTCACACTGCACCTGCTTCCCTCCCGCTCTATGCTCCCTCTCCAAACGTCACTTTTCCCCTCCCCTCCACTCCTCCACTCCTATTCTCCCCCTCGTTAGCTTGATGAATGGCTTCACTGCGGGGAAAGTGCTGATTTTCATCCCTCTGTCTGATTTCTGCTGGCTGTTATTAATTTCAAACACTCAGAGAAAAGCAAGTGAGTCAATAAATAAGGAAATGAACACACTTCATCCTGCCATACAGCGGCTCTCACAGTCATTCACCCAGGATGCAGGTCCTCTGTGGAGGCCAGGCCTGCATTTATACTGATAGAGTTCACCCCCCCCCTCTTAGATCACGGAACATTTCAGTATTTTTTTTTTAAGCAAGAATAAAAGTCTTCCAGTACCATTGTACCATATCAAATGTTTCTGGAGTATTGTCGGTATCTTGCTTCACTCAGACAAACAGGACCAGAGGGAGACAGGGTGGCACAAAGTAAATAGCTCTGAAGAGACCCGCAGTGTCCTCTCTCATCTTTCATCTTTCATACTAGTGCACCATTTAAGAAATGTATACAGAGAGTGACAATGGGAAGAGAGATAGGGGAAGATGCAGGGTGAAAGAGAGGCAATGAGAAGCAGCAGCCTAATAGAGTTATTGCTGCACATTAAACACTCGCTGTCCACACAGTGTGGCTGGGGCTCTATGTCTAAGTGCACATTACTTACATTCCAGGCTTAATGCATTGTGCTTGCGCGTTAACATCAAATTCAAATAGCCTCTGAGACAATATGATTCTCTCGCTTTCTTGCTGTCAGACAGAAACGCTTGCACCAAAAGTTGTTATTCTCTATATTATGTATTTAATTAAAATGAGTAAGGGTATTTAATCAAAACAGAATCACCATAATGCATGCACAGACACAGAAATTAAATGCCGAGGTATCATCACGCTGTTTACAAAGTGTTAAGACAAACAGTCTGGTGGAGTGTCCTATTAATACATGTCTGAGACACATACACATGTCCTCGGTTGTGTGGGCTGCGCTCTGCAGCAACAAGGCTTATGTTTCCCTTGGCTTGGACAATTAAAACAATATTTGGTATCATCCTAATAAATAAACAGATTTTATTAAGGCCAACACTAAGGTCAGTTTATTGATCTCAGCTTTGTGGGACTGTCCTACTGAATCACATCATGAATATGCTTCTGTAAAACAGTTATGGTATATGAAATTAAATGTAGGTGATTTGCAGTCTGTTGCTCCTCACACTGGATGTAGTGTGTAAGTAAAAGCATT